TTCATGGTTCACATACAGAACTTTCATATAGATAAGTATGTATATCAATCTTACTTTACCCTTTCATTTTGGGTTGTACTAAGCTCATAAGGTATTTAGCCAGAAAAACTTAAAATAAATTATTCGTTACTAATTTATTACTATTTTTATTTCCCCTCCTTAAGTTTTGGGTGCCTATTAGTCATGAGACATCCTTCCTTAATGTTTAATCAGTTCTGAGGCTCTCTGATGCTCTTTCGCTATAGCCAGAATCTCTCGTTGTAACAAGGATGTTCTTGCTGTAGCGAAGAGCTCTCGCTGTAGCTAGAATGACAGACAGCAAAGAAAAATTTATTTGATTTTTTTGCTATAGCAAAAAGAGGGCTTGTTGTAGCGAGAATCTCTCAATGTAGCGAGAATATCGCGAGTTAAGGGATATTTAAGGGCCTTCAACCTAGAAAACTTGGATTACAATCCAAAATCTTGGCCTCCTCTTTGTTCTTTTTAATCTCTCACCATCTCTTCTAAAAAATAATCCTCCAAACTTCAATCTTCCTTCAAATATGAGCTTGGGAGCTCAACTATTCAAATTCAAGTAAGTTTCTTGGAGCCTGATTCTCTAATTTCATTCTTATTTCTCCATTTTATCCGATCTAAAGTTTTGTACTTTGTGATACTCAAGGAAACCTTAACCCTTAAGAAGATATTCTCTACCGAGACGTTGTGCTTCTCACTTAGATCTCTAGAAAAACTCGACCTAAGAGATCTATTTCTAGTTAAGGGGAATTGATCCCAAATCCTAACTCTTTCTTGATATTTTGGTTTGAAAATACTAGGTTTTCTATTGAGACCCTAGAATACTAAGGTTATCTTAAAAATCTATATGTGTAGGAATAGAAAGTCTAACACGAATACCCCATGCTTATCTTATAAATAAAATTTATAACTAAAGCTTTGAACAAAACTATTTCAAGAAATATTATGATTTTACTGGTAAACCTTGTTAAGAGGTAATTGAAGATTTACACATCTAATATTTTTGGAATAATAAGATATACTGTGAATATTGGTTGTTATCAAACTTTAGGATAGATGACTGTATTGAAATTGTATTATTGGACTGAGTCTGGAGGTGTCCTAGCGTCGACACATTGTATTTATTTGTGTGGTGTGAAATTGTTTGAGGATCTTCTATGTTAGATGAATGTTTGTTGATGATTGAGGTATGTTGAAATGGATGAAATTAGGTTATTGATAAAAAGTGTTATATTGTTCTTGAAAGAAGAAAATGTTTTATGTATAAAAATAAATGATATGACATGATGAAGGAATTTTGAGAGATGTGATTGTAATACATGAGTTAGATAGAGATGGATGTTATTAGGATACAGGTGTTGTGGTACATTGAAAGGTGTACTCATAATACATATATTGTAATATATTAAGTTGTGTAATCAAGACTCACATATTATGACACGTTGATCTATTAGAAGGATATAGAAAAGAATGAGAATGAGAATAAAATGAGAAATGTTGAGAAAGAGAAATGGAATAAGTATAGATAGTCATAGAAATATACTGGGAGTGTGGAAGATGGGGGCGATTGAGAAATCTGGAGGAAATAAGGATGGTGGATGTCTTTCCATGATAGTGCAAAAATTAATAAAAATAGAGAGAAAAGACACAACATGCTTCACACTCATTTCTTGACCTAGACTCCTGACTATACCTTTCCTAAAAAGGGGCCGGGTCGGCACATATGTGTATCTATGTTGTTGCGGCTAACTAGCAGCTATCTATGCTAGAAAGTCCTCAAAAGATATCAGGGGCAATAATATGAATGTAAAATTATGATGAACATGAAGTGGTATAGAGATTGTATAATTATAATATATGCATTGTAACCTATCGATTAATGTTGTTATGATATATGTGTTGTAATACATCGATGAATGTGATTAGGATACATGAACAGAATAAAATTGAGTAAAAATGAATTAAGAAATATCAATCTACAGAATACCAAATGCTTGTAACTCCAACTATCACAGTATCTAAAAATGAAAATCCGCGTTTGAACAATAAGTCAATTCAATTATTAATTCAACTGAATAACCTAATTGAATAGAGTTACAAATTAAATTAAATAATCATTTAACCTAATTTTCATTAATTATCAAATCAGAGCATCAATCGAGTTCTAATTTAAATTCTAACAACACAAGAGTTAATCACAATTGCAATACACAATTATGATATTAAAGAGGAAAAAAGAATAAACTTAGAATAATTTAGCAAAGAATTCAAGTCAGAATTACAGCGTTTAGATTCCAGAGATTGAACAAGAGGTTTAGCCGTCCATTGAAGTACTTAACCCATGCAAGAATGAGAAAAGAAAAAGAGAGTTCAAGAGAAAGTAAAAATAAGGATTCTTATTTCGGGCAAGTCTTAAAATCTTAAAGTGTTTAATTATATCTCCTAAATCAGAACTTTATTAGTCTATTTATAAGCTCTGATTAGGGTAAACTAAATGGCCAAAATTTAGGCCTTAATTATAACAACAAGCCCAAATACAGCTATCTAATAACAAAGGGTCCAAATGTGATCTCGCAATAATATTCAGCAAATCTGCCTCAACTTAAAAAAATCATAAAAAATTGAAATCAACTCTAAATCCAGTGATCCATATATGCATTTTTAAGCCTTGGATGTGTAGAATCCAATGCAACTAGAATCAGCCAAAAATGATATTTGTAGAAAGGGTTATGACCAAAAGAGTAGTCAAAGGTCAGCATTACTGAAAAATACAAAATTAAAGCATTTATTTGTAATAAGCCTAATTTATTCCAATAAGTAGAAAATGGTAAAAACTCTAAAAACAAAGCATATTAAAAGTGTGTATAAATTAAAATAAAACTATAAATATAAACCTGAAATATGTCACGTCAAGGGAACAGGAACCATCAGCAGGATCTGAGATCAAGCATTCTCATATTCATCATTGAGTCCTGTCAGAAAACAAATAATATAGTCTTGCTCATGGTGAATTAGTGTGTTTTTGGCAACTGGGCAAGTGCATTTCATAGGGCATGCACAGGGTAGCACTGGCTTGTAGTGTTTTAGTTCCTCCCACAATCCTGTCAATTCAGTGAAGAATTCACTGACAGAGAGTACTCCTTGTCGAAGCCCAAACAACTGCTGCTAAATCTTGGCAATGCGCATCAGATCTCCTTACGCAAACCTCTCACGAAGATTCTTCCAGACATCGCTTATGTTCTTAATTGCATCAATGCTTTTCGCTATGAATGGTGAGACTGTGCTGACAATCCATGAATGAAGTACAGTATTACATCTTTCCCAGGCCAAGTACAAAGGATAGAAGGTCTCTAGTTAAAGAATGGAACCAGTGAGGAAGTCATATTTATTTTTGGGAATGAGGGCCCTTCTGATGGCTTGAGCTCATGTGTGGTAGTTTGGTCCGATAAAGGTGTTTTATTGGTGAGGGCTGTGGTATTTTCAGCTGGATGAACGTAATATGGACTGGTTGGATTTTGTGAGGGGTCATTGACATTATTGTTGGTGCTTGCAAAGGCTTGGTTGTTAGTTTGAGTGTTTTGGTTATTTCTAACCATGGGAGCTATCAAATCTTTGCTCTGATATCATATTAAGAATAACAATTGCAGTAGAATGAAATTGCTTTGTGTGTGTATATATACACACACACACACAAAGATAGAGCACTATCTGTGTGAGAAAATAAAAAAAAATAATACAAAAAGATAAAAAAAAATAATGGTGACGGTTATGAGATCCATGAAATATGGATCTGCACCAAAGGTGTGATTCTCAACAACTAACTTTCTTGCTTCTCTTTATCAAACCGCTTCTCCTCATTATGCATGGTGGTTCTAGAATATTCTTGCAACTTCATGAAATTTTAATTCCATAATGATCCAATCAAGCTAGATGAAAGAACTCTTCCAACTTGGAAGCTTGAAATTGTTAATAAATTTAGTGTAGAAAATAATGAATAAGAATTTGAAATACTAGTTTCAAGGCATGAAATCAATAGCTATCTTTAAAGAGATATTTGTTCTCACACAAAGTTTCTATAGGTTGATGACAATACTCTCTCAAAATACAATGAAACTTTTAAATTTTACATAACAATTTCAGTCGTTATATTTTTACTTAAACAAGTCTATTTTTATTTAAACAAAAATAAAACTAAATGTTCAGTTCCTGCCACAGCAGGAGGAGATTTAAACCTGTCATATGACACTTCATATTTTAAAAAATGTGAAAAAAAACTTTTTCATTATTCAATTATCCAATTTCTCCGTCTCTTATACAAAAATACCCTAGAGATATTTTTATTTAAGATTGACTGATTAATAGAATAATTTTTTTACACACTTTTATGCGTTATATTATACACTTTTAAAAATTAAAGTTTAAATTGCACATAACCCTACATACTAACAGTGAAATAGACTTTTCTCTTAAAAATATAAATATAACTACCAGAATTTACAATTTTGAATATTTTTTTCGTGTTAGAAACTGCAAGCAATTTAATTGCCTTAATGCAAATGAATTATGATGTAAAATTAAATGTGAATTAGTAAGCTTTAACCTGTATGGCATAAACCATGAAAAATTTCAATTATCTATTACCATTCTTATTTAAATAATTATATATATCAATCTAAACCTTTTATTTAACTTACGTCTATTGGATTATAATTTATTACTTTATTGACCGTTAAATATAAGTTAAATGAAAAGCTCAAATCGAGTGTAAAAGTTTTTAGACTTACACTAATGTTAAATTTTATTTTTTTTCATATATATATACATTAGACAAAATCACTAAATAAGAGTCAATAAACACATGAAAGTGATAACAGACATTTCTCAAAATGCGAAAATTATAATCTCCTATGTCAACCTTCATTTGTTAAAGATGAAAAACCGGTGAATCAGCAACAGACTTTGGTGGATGATAAAAAAAACCTTTGGTGAACTTTCATAAATCAATTTCATTGATGGTAAGTCTAGCATAAACAATGATTGTTTGCATACTACACAAAACTTCAGCGGCAAGATTCTTCTAAACTGCAGTGAACTCCTACAAACAAAGCGTCAATTATATATTTACCAGATGTGATCACTTGTTTCGCAAAAAGCTAGTCCAACTTGCTAGTCAAGTCTTTGAAATTGATAGAGGCGATTTGCCAGAACCTTCCAATACTGCAGCTGGATCTGAGGACCTGGTCACAGTTTCATCTGCTCCTTCCAAATTTATTTCACTGAAGCTTCTTTTCTTTGATGGAGTATTTGAATTTGCATTTTCATTTTCCTTCTGCTTTCCTTTACCTTTTTCTTTTCTGCTGTCAGCCTCCTTATCAGGTTGTGGTTCTCCATTTGGAAGCGGAAATAATGGAGGCTCCTGGCCACTCAATCTACAAAACACTCTTTCCACCGTTTCACTTATTTCTTTTCCCAGGCCATTATTGTCTAAAATTAAATCCCACACTGATTTTGAGGCCTTCTCGAGTACAGAAGCTCTGCATGATATAAACATGGATATAAGAAAAAGCCAGCCAACCAGAAATGTATACATATTTCATACAAAAATATAAATAGTGATACTCATGGAGATATAATTCGATTGGGAATACTGACTTTTATCATTTCTTTCAAGACCTACTTAAAGCATCTGGAAGGAAACACAAGGAAATAGGCATTCAGGACACAAAAAGGGTAAAATAAAATAACTTTTTGCAGTGCACTTCGATTTATCCTAAATCATGCCAGAAGGAGAAAGTAAGTAATACATTTTAATGGGTACGACCGTCTACCAAATAGATGTGTATTGACTATGGAGGCCTGCATATAGAGCGGTTTAACATATCCAAACACATAGCTTCTACTTTCCAAATATGTAAAACCAATCTGAGATGTAGGGCCAAACAAGGTTAATTACAGAGGAAACCCCGATTTCAATCCTCTGCAGATATAAAAACATCACTTTAGTCTCTAAAGAATTTCAAGATTAATTTAGCCTGTCAATCATATAAAGCAATATCAATTATATCCTTAAAATATTTGACATTAATTTAGTTTTTCAATCTGAGTCTATAGACAAAATGATGATTTTGATGTCACTTTCCACGACTGAAAGACTAAATTGATGTCAACATTCATTGGAGGACCATCAGAGTTTATTTTATACATGTTTCTAAGTTTTTTCCGGAGGGGGAGGGGGGGCTGGAGGTCATTACCTTAAGTGATTAGGATTAAACTTATTCTATGGGCTAGGATTTGTCATTAATTAGAGTTTTTATTCAGACTATTACATATATGCGAGGGTTTAACAGCAGTGTAGATACATTTTCCCTTAATAACAAAAAGGGCACAAAGGCCCTCTTTTGCAGATATCTTTTTATCCCAATATTCTGAGTGCACATATATTCCTAGACCCTGTCATCCTACATCAATTTGGTGATCACTGATTAGAATCAAATTTGATCCACTTCACTTATGGCATTGGCAACAATGTTGGTGCAACTAATGCAATAGGTAAGTAACCTGCATAGAGATCAAGTTAGATCTTATGGGAGATTCAAAAAGTTGACAAAAATCCTATGCACTTTCTGGATGATCACCTAGAAGATGAAAGATTATAGATTGGAATTTGGAAATCTGGTACTCTGCTCCAATCTGTAACGTTGAAGCTGTATAGGCAAACTGAAATTACTGAGGAAGAGGAAACTATAGGTTGTCACGTTGATCCAGTATTACTTATCAAAATGCATAATAAAGATAATCTGCGATTGGCCAGTCAATAAGTCACCACATGAGTGGCATATATTATGCTATGCAAGATAAAGTGTGAAATTTACTAATCTTTGAGAAGACCTATGCTATGGATAATTTCACAGTGAATTAATAAATTTGAACTCTTCAAAATATTCCAGAAATGATCGCATTGAATTTACAGGGTTTGCTCTATTGCATTCAAAACTATTCCAAAACTTAATTGTTACAGTAAAACACATAATATTGCAAGCATAGTAGTCAATAGCGACTGCTATCACAGTGGAGTGGAGTGGAGTGGAGCGGCACAATGCTACTATGGAGACCTAATAGTGTTGTGGTTCACACTACAAATCGCAGCAAAAAATGGCAGAAATTGCAGCTGTCGCGGCTGCTATTATATTCTTGCTGAAATTCAAAACTTGCCTTTTGTTTTTGAACATTAGATGACTTTTAAGGGGGACAATCTTGGGATTTCGCCTCCCTCTTATTTTCTGATATCTTCCCCCTTCCTCTTTCGCGAGCCCTAAGCTTCTCATTTCATCTCTCATTTCTCCTCTCATTTCATCTTTGTTCTCTACAATTCCACATCTTTCAGTGGCCTTCATCTCTAACGAGGCTTCTAACGCAACAATGACGTTCTCCGGTCATCTTCTTCTAGTGCAGCGAGACATCAACCAGATATTTTCCTATTATTTTCTATATCTCTGGTGAACCAGCACATTTTTTGGTGACTGAACATTTGTTCTTCTATTTTTTATTTCCTTCTCTGTTTTTAATTCTCGTATTCTGTTCTGTTTCAAATTTCAAAGCTTAAAATAGAAGCAATAGATGCTCTGCACCCTTCGCTGTTTGTTATTTATTTCTTTCTCTGTTTTGTGTTTTCCTTTTTCGTTTTGTTCCAAATTTGTGTATTAATTTTATATATTTCAGCATGTATATGTGTGTATTAAAACTTCAGGATAGTGGTCATCTTGCTACCACTATCCCTATTATACGGTTTTTGAGGTTGGCTGCTTCACACCGCTATCCAGAATTGACTACTATGATTGCGAGCAAAAAGGATCATAAATGCTCAAAACTATAGGAGTAGGCTGGGATTTGGGACTAAATTTCAACATCTTCAAATATTCAAACCATACTTCTATGTGGGGCAGGAGATTTTAAACTCAACCAAAGAACTTAGGAGCATGTGTTCTTTTCAAGTGAAGAAGGGGGACTTACGCAACAAGGCAAAGAGGGTTAGTTATAACTATGTTTAGCACTATAATGCACGGATATTTCAAAATTGGCACAATATATCCATGTCATACCCTTACCAGATATTTAACACACTTATTATAAAGTTGCTATTAAAGCTTGACTGTGTTATTCTCAAATCTCTTACTCTTTTTTAATATATTTTTTTAAGAAGCAAAAGACCAATAGTAATACAATAATGATTATAAATCAACATAAACATTATTTTAAAATATAAATAAATAAAATAAAATAAATTGATAATATAAGCAATCTATAAAAAAAATTACTCTAAACTCCAAATATATTTTACTTAGGCTTTGGTTAGGAGTTTATCAGGAGGAGAAAGGGAAGAGTTTGAGGGTTAAGGGAAGACATAGGAAGGGAGGGAGGGAGGGAGAAGGATTCACAAAAAATCTCCCAATTTGAGAGAACTTAAAAACACGAGTTTATGAGAGTTTTGGAGGGTTCATAAAAACTCCTCTCATTTAAAAACTCCAAAACAATGGATACTATCAAATAAGTAAAAGATTGTCGTATTTACACATCGCATCGTTTCATACCTAATTTTCATATCCATACCTGCACAACATAGGTGTACTGGATCCCAGAGTAGAATTCCGCAGCAGAAGGATATTCTGATCAGTGCTTACTTAGCAGAAACAATAGGTATAGCATGACTGGACTTATCCTAAGTACACAGATTTTATTTATATTCTATGTAAAGGGGTTCAATTACTATAAGCCTGCAACGATATATAGATTATAGAACTTCTTTAGTCACATGGCTTACAGAAGAGATTTTAGTTAACAACAAATGTATATCCAATGTAGGTTGGAAACAGAATTTGATCCACAAAAAAAATTAAGGAACTCTATCACTTACTCAAGTTCTTGCCGAAGTGCATCAAACAGCTCTCTTTTGGTCTGTTTCTCAGCCCCAGGGGTGTTCAGAACCTTGCTCTGTTCAGCCATCTTTATGGTAGTACTCTTCAGTTCCTCCTGCAAAACACCACAACCCAATCAGACTAAAGTTCAAAGCAAATGGAATGAAATTAGACGCATAAAAATGCTATTAGAATTTATAGCACAATTACATGCAGAATCAAAATTAAAACACAAAAAAGGAAATTGAAATAAAGGGGAACGTAGAAATTACATTGGCTTTGAGCTGGTTGATGATCTTCAATCTGAGGGCATCAATTGTGCCGTCGTTCATCAGCGACTCCAACACATCTTCAGGAGTGATTACCGAGGAAGAAGCCATAGAATTAAAAGTCAAGCGTAACAGAAGCAGAAACGCGGAAGAACTTCGATCTTCGGCTGAATCGTTGTTGGATACGGGCAAATGTCGGTTTTAAAAACGGTGTAATTGGTGGTCGTATTGATTGGTACACTCTAAGTTGAAGGAACGGAACAAACAGGGAACTCTGAAAACCCTAATACGCTGAACAAATGAAGAAGACCGCAGCGGAGACAAAGCCGTATGGTCCGTCACACGGCTGGCTCTCTCAATAAGCGATTTTCTTTAGGTGTCCAAATTCACTAAAACTGTATTAAATGATAAATTTTTATTTATAAATATAATTTTAAATGTGTATAATTTTATAAAATCTTATCATTTTTTATTAAAATTTTATCAGCATTATTGTAAATTATTTAATTATATAATCTTTTTATTTTTGAATGGAAAATAATATAATATTCTATATTTTGTAATTAGTGTTTTTGAAAAATTTTATTAATATGTAAAAAAAATTCAAAATTATTATATATAACACAAATGTATATATTGTAATATAAATAATTAAAAATTTAACGTGACGTAATTATTATTTATAGCAATTTAAGTAAGTATATCTTGATTATTAATTATTATGAACTATTTTAAATTATTAAGTATGTTTATAATATATTTTGGTTAATTTCATTTTTTGTGTTAAATATGTTTTGAAAATAGTTAGGCTAATATAGAAATATATTTTTATTTATATTATTATTTTAATGGAATAAAATTTTATAAATGTGTATGTAATGTAATAGATGAATGAGTAGTATCATATTTTTGTAATATATTTAGCATTTTTATATATTTATAAATTAGTATAAGTAGTGTATATATTAAATTTTTTATTTTTTTAATTAATTATTAATTACTAATTTGCATGAGGATTGTTGTTTAAAAAATAATTAGTATTATTGTAAATTATTTAATTTGATAGCTTTTGAATTTATATATTAAAAAATAATATAAGAAGCATTTTTATAAATTAAAATAAGAAGTATTTTTTGATAATAATAAGTTTATTTAATTATTAATTTAACATCTTTTTTAAATTTATAAATTAATATAATTTTATTTTTTAATTAATTATTTAGTAATTACTATTTTGCATGAGCATAATTCTTTAAAAATTTATTGACATTATTGTAAATTATTTAATTAGATAAGTTTTTAATTTTTGAGTTTATAAATTAAAAAATTAATATAAAAAGTGTTTTTATAAATTAATATAAGAGTTTTTTTTATAATAATAAATTTATTTAATTACTAATTTAACATTTTTTTAGTTTATAAATTAATATATGACATGTTTTATTTATTTATTTATTGGTACAAGTATGTCTATTATGAATATATATATATCAAAAATACTTAAAATTACTTGTCATCTTACAAAGATTTGTTTTGAAATAAGATTTTTAACATCTTTTTATTTATATATATATATATATATATATATATATATATTTATAGTCTCTTTCAAAGTTATTTTCATTATTTTTTATGTTATTATATTTCTATTTTATCTTTATAGCTAGTATGATGCTCTAATATACTTCTCGAACCTCATTTTTTTAAAACATTATATAATTTAATGGTATAAAGTTTTTAATGTATTTAAAATATTTGTTGAATATCATTATTGTCGGCTATTGAAATTGTCAAATATTAAGACTAGATATCGATATATAATATTTTTTACTATTTTTGAAAACTAGACTTCAATACATTGACAAAGTCAATACTTTAAAATTTCAAATGATACATTATATAGAATATACATACATGTTAATTTTTTGCATGTAAATGTTACACTTTCACTCATATTTATTATAATTTCACTATTAAACTAAATAGGTATTGTCACACTCAAATTTTTTTTCTTTTAAAAAACACAAATGAATAGCAATATAAGACTAATAAATACTTCAAAAATTTTCATGAGCAACTTTATATTAATAGAGATTGCAGAATTTATAACCTCAATTAAAAATCATTAATGATAATTTATTATTGAATAAAATAACTTTTTAATAATTTATTAGGTCAAAGGTCACCTTTGATTATCTGATAAATTTTTTCTTTTTCAAAACTTGTCAATAACATTTTTTGAAATATTTTTTTACTTTTTGTTTTTCAAATCTTGCTAATGACGATTTTTAATAATAAAATATTATTAATTTTGATAATTAAAATCACTAATAATAATTTTTAATTATAACTAATTATCTAATACTTAAAATTGTCTTTTGACATTTTTCTTAGAAAATACCATATTTATGTATATTTATTAAAAAGGTTATATTTTGATAAATTCAAAATAAAAAATCATAATTGAAAAAAGGTAAGAGTAAGTGATAACTTATTAAATTTTGTATGTTTATTTTAAAAATTATAGGAAAAAAAATACTTGCATCTTATTAAAGAAAATTACATTATAAAAGAAAACTTTAAAAATGTGACTCATACCTCATTCATTTAATAATAACGTCCTTTTTTTTTGGATTTATCAAAAAAACCCACACTACTTACTACTTAGTTAGTCTTTCTAAACACAGAATTGGGTGCAATTTTTCTAAACACAGAATTGGGTGCAATTTTAATTTACTTTGAAAGATAAAAACCTTTTTAACACTAGTTTAAACAAAAAAATAATAATATAGAATTCAAACGAAAGCCTTCACATACATTTAATTAAGCATTTGTTTAGTAAAATTTTAAAAAGTCTGTATCATAAATTATACCATAAAAATTATTGATATAAACTAAAAAAAATCTTTTGATAAGCTATAGTCAGTGAAATTAAAATTTTAAAACAATTTCATAATTCAAATTTGAAATCAATATAACTTTTCGTATAACTCAATATAACTTATAATTATAAATATAAATGAACTAGAGTTTAAAATAAAATTTAAAAATATAAAACTAACTACCACAGTTATTACTGTAGCAACTAGTCAACTTGTTCTTGTAATTTTTTTTGGTCATGAGAGGAATCATATTGGACCGAGACGGAGTGGATTGGTCCGTATAATAAACTATTCCTATTTGTTATTATTTATTAAAAATAAAAATAAACACTATGCTCCAAGCCTCATCAACTGCAGCTCCTCCTTCATGCTCTCATTCAATCCCAATCCTTTTGTCTTCTCCGCCGTAGCCATGTCAGGCTCACACCAATCCGAACGAACGCATTCTTCCCAAAATGCCCCCATATCCACCGAAAATTACCCAGTGCCACTGTCCCCTCCGCTTCCCCCAATCTCGAAGGAAATCGAGCTGAACAGGGCCATGACCGCTGCTTCTAAGTCAAGCCTCTTTTCTCTCTCAACCACCGACGTTCTATACGACGACGAATGGCTCCTCGCAGTTAACAAGCCTCAGGGAATTTATTGCGAGAACTTGCTTTCCTCCCTCGTCTCCCAATCACCGGAAACCGCGCCGGAGCTTCACCTCGCAAATCGACTTGATCGCGACACCAGTGGCGTAATGGTAATAACCAAGTCACACAAGGTGGCGTCTAAGCTTGTGAAGGCCTTCACTAATCACGAGGTTAAGAAAACATACATTGCCCTCTGCACGGGTTCTCCTCCGAATTGGGAACGGGTAACCGTGCGATCCGGTCACGGAAGGTCCAAATTCGGCGCCTGGAGAGTGTACGCTGCTTCTGATGTTGGTCGCACGCTACCGGGCGGGTCGGTTGTCCGTGCCATGGAGACTTCGTTTGAGGTGTTATCGATAAACGGAAAGGGAAGGTTCAGGAATGTCTCTGAATCGGAATTGAGGAACGACGAAGAGAGCAATGTTTTGGTAGTTGAAGAGAAAGCGGTGAAGAAAGATGAGAACGAGAATGAGGATGATAATGAGAATGAGATAGTGATGAGAGCGTATCCTCGGAGTGGAAGAACTCATCAAATTCGGTTGCACTGTCAATATCTAGGGTTTTCCATAATAGGAGATGTGAAATATGAGGGTGTGTACGAGTGGAAAGGTAGAACTTATGATGCACATCATCTTCATGCCGAGACCTTGTCATTTGAACATCCTGTTACTGGTCTTCAGGATAAGCTACGTGCACCTCTCCCACTATGGACCAACCAAGCTTTTCAGCCTTAAACGATGCACCGTGTTGTGTGGATTTTGTTTGGTTTCTAAATCTCTTCTAAATCACCGCAGAATCAAGCAGGACAATTGAGTTGTCATTTCTAACAGCTCTGCCTCTGATTCCCCAAGTAATGTCATTCATGTTTGATATTACTGTGTACGTTATTTACTGCAATCTTCATAGGAAACAAATTTTGAAAAGGTTTGCTGATGGAGATTTCTAGGTGCTTCAGTAATAGGCCACGTTTTGATGGATGAAAAGAGATGGAATGCAAAGATGTTGATTCCGTTGTTTGAATTGATCAAAATACGATGGAATGGAACAAAACATGATACACAGAATGCATTTTATACAATTCTAACATTTTTTTTGTAGGCACTTGCAATTTTGGAATAGGAGATGAAATCATATTTTTCCTTTTATTATAAAAATAATTTAATAATAGATCGATAATTTTGTTCTTTTTTGTTCTATTTCACTCCATTCTGATTTAGATATACAGTCATACAGTTCAAAATATAGTTAAAATTAAAATAATAATGGGACAAGTATTTTAGGCCATACACTTTGATCTATCATGGTAAATCTCTTCAATAATTTCTCTGGCTGAGGTATCAGTTGAAAGACATAATCTTGGCAACTTGCAGAACCAAGACATAAAACCCTAGATTAAACTAGAGGTCTATTGACTAAGCCACACTGTTTTTACTTCTTGACAAGCTGTTTTTACTTCTTGACAAGCGTCTTAGAATAAAAAAAGAGTTTGCAAATTGATTTGTCCCTTGAAACTGAGCCGCTGTTTCTTAACACGGAAGGTTCTAGACAGGTTTGGAATGGCATGCTTTTGAATTTGATGACTTTCGTATAAGAGGATTATTCTTATGCTGGTTCAATTCAAGCAACTATGTTTGCAATCTATAGTTATTGAATATATCATGCTTCTTTTTCTAAATTTGTATAAAGCTTTCAAGCATCAAGCTGGTAGCTATGTTTGTATCCATGAATTCATCTTTACGTGTAAGAGCCTTATTCTTTCCCTGGTTGAATTTATGCAACAGCGCAATCAATCTTTAATTACAAAAGAGATCACGCTTCTTTTATTTTAACTTTATAGAACTTGTGAGCATCGAACAACTGGTATTATAAAACGTTTACTGAGAGTTAAAAGTTTTATTTTTTTGGGGCTTTAGTTTGAATGTATACTTAAGGTGAAAGGTGATGTCAGTATCTGTGCTCATGACCATATTTTAATCGGAGAAGTTGAATTCGTTTACACACGGCCCATCGAAAATGGATAAGAATTGAAAAGACAAATATCCTACCTATTAAATATTAATCAAAACCACCAGTTCACTAATTCAGTGCCGGGAAAAATCTGTTAAAATTCCAAATCCGTCATTCAAAACAAGTTTTGTAGTTTCTGAGGGCCATGCAAGCTCCCCTCGGATTTCTCTGACTGTTTGGACAAGACACTTCCTATACTTATTTTGAGGCTATAAAACTCGTTGAATTCTGTTATGATAGCTCAAAGCTTACTCCATAATTTTCGACTGGCATTTGGAAATGGGTGTGTTGAACGTAGCCCTTACACAAATTCTGATACCTTTGGCTGCATTAATTGGAATTGGGTTTGCTTTGCTTCAATGGCTTTTGGTCTCAAGGGTCAGGGTCTCTGCTGCTGATCACACTGATGCAGACAACGGATATGAAAAAAGCTTAATAGGAGATTCAGAATTGGAGAATGGTGTTCAGGGTCTCGAAGTTACCATTAAGTGTGCTGAAATCCAGCATGCCATTTCTGTTGGTGAGCTCTGTCTCCCTACTCTCTCATAAGTTTATGATTGAATTTAGCTATGGAATAAGCTAATTAAACTTGATCCCGTTTTGATATGTTCCCAGGAGCTACTTCGTTTCTGTTTACTGAGTATAGGTACCTGTCAATCTTCATGGGAGTATTTGGTGCAATAATTTTTCTCTTTCTGGGCTCTGTGAAAGGCTTTAGTACCAAAAGTGAACCTTGCACTTACAACGAAGGCAATTTTTGTAAACCAGCGCTTGCTAATGCCATTTTTAGCACCGTTGCCTTCTTGCTTGGTGCTCTAACCTCTGTCCTTTCTGGCTTTCTCGGGATGAAGATTGCAACCTATGCCAATGCTAGAACAACTCTTGAAGCAAGGAAGGGAATAGGAAAGGCTTTTGTTACTGCTTTTCGGTCTGGTGCAGTGATGGGCTTCCTTCTTGCTGCAAACGGCCTGTTGGTGCTATACATCGCCATCAGTTTATTCAAACTGTATTATGGAGATGACTGGGAGGGACTTTATGAGTCCATTACTGGCTATGGGCTTGGGGGTTCGTCAATGGCACTTTTCGGAAGAGTTGGAGGTGGCATATACACGAAAGCAGCAGATGTTGGTGCTGACCTTGTGGGGAAAGTTGAACACAATATCCCTGAAGATGATCCACGCAACCCAGCTGTAATTTCTTGTATTCCTTTATCATTAATCATCTCCATTCATCATTAGAAATTTGCATTTGTTATATAAGTTTTAGAAGTCATTGATGGTTGATAAGTTGTCATTCCAAGCATGCAATTTTCTCTATTCTTCAATCAAATACTCATTTTCTAGTTAAAATCCTCATGTCTCAGTCTGATGGGTAATCTCTGAAAAAGAAAAGTCATCACTGTCATCTTAAATTACAATGAATATGTGCCATATTTTTGGTCACTAAATTTTGCGAATATATTCAGGTTATTGCAGACAATGTAGGAGACAATGTTGGAGATATTGCTGGGATGGGTTCTGACCTATTTGGGTCATATGCAGAATCATCGTGTGCAGCTTTATTTGTTGCGTCCATTTCATCATTTGGAACTAATCATGACTACACCGCCATCTCATATCCTCTCATCATAAGCTCCATGGGAATTTTGGTTTGCTTGATTACAACTCTTTTTGCAACTGATCTGTTTGCAATAAAAAATGTGAGCCAAATAGAACCATCCTTGAAACGACAGCTTCTTATCTCAACTATCTTAATGACTGCTGGTATTGCTATAGTCAGCTTCATTGCTTTGCCATCAGAATTTACTCTCTATAACTTTGGAGTCAACAAGGTTGTCAAGAACTGGTATGACTAACTTTTCAGTAACGTCCTTTTTTGTCAGCATGTACGGATTTTTGGGTCTTCATATGATTCAATTGTACCCAACATAATTTCAGGCATCTTTTCTTATGTGTTGCAATTGGTTTGTGGGCTGGACTTGTAATCGGGTACATTACTGAATACTTCACTAGCAGTGCTTACAGGTGAGCAACCTTCTTCTGGTGTCTTGGTCTGTTGCATGGTATACTTTATCTTTAAGTTTCTGAACAGTCTAAAAATTCCCTAACATTTGACAGAATTTTCAGAAGCTGGATATTGTAAATGGCCTAAATTTTCTCATAATCTAAAATTTTGAAGCACCGACTAGATAGTGAATTAGCCATTTGGATATTCAGAAGCTAAGTTGCTTACTGCTTTTTCATATCTAATTTTAAATTGCAGGCCAGTGCAAGATGTGGCAGATTCCTGCAGGACTGGAGCTGCAACAAATGTGATTTTTGGACTGGCGCTGGGATATAAATCAGTCATAGTTCCTATATTTGCTATTGCTGTCGCTATTTATGTAAGCTTCAGCCTTGCCGCCATGTATGGAATTGCTGTTGCTGCACTTGGAATGCTCAGTACCATGGCCACTAGTCTTGCCATTGATGCATATGGTCCCATTAGTGATAATGCTGGAGGTATAGCTGAAATGGCTGGAATGAGACATGAGATACGAGAAAGGACTGATGCTCTGGATGCTGCTGGAAACACCACAGCTGCCATTGGCAAGGTGAATTTATAGTTTTTATTTCCGATTATCAGTTACCAAGAGCTCTTTGACACAAATTACTGGGCTATAAAATTAGTAAAATAGTGTAAAGTCATATACTGGCTATGTAGATCTAAATCTGTTGCGCTTTTCTAATAGGGCTTTGCTATTGGATCAGCTGCACTGGTATCTCTTTCATTGTTTGGTGCTTATGTGAGCAGAGCAGGCATCAAAACAGTAAATGTGATGACCCCAAAAGTTTTTATTGGTTTGATTGTGGGAGCAATGCTTCCGTACTGGTTTTCAGCCATGACAATGAAGAGTGTGGGGAGTGCGGCTCTCAAAATGGTTGAAGAAGTTCGCAGGCAATTCAAAACTATTCCTGGTCTTATAGAGGGAAGAGCAAAACCAGATTATGCAACTTGTGTAAAGATTTCCACTGACGCCTCACTAAAGGAGATGGTACCTCCAGGTGCATTAGTTTTGCTTACACCACTTATTGCCGGAACATTCTTTGGGGTGGAGACTCTCGCCGGGGTACTTGCTGGCTCCCTTGTTTCCGGCGTGCAGGTATATGGTGTTATATTTGTCAATTCCAACTTTGCAACAACTAATCTATTTTTTAGCCATAAAGGTTTTTCTCTATTCGCACGAGCCTAGGGTATTAATTTTCAACTTTGTTAAGATATTTTCATTACTTACACAGGTGGCAATTTCAGCTTCAAACACTGGTGGCGCATGGGATAACGCCAAGAAATACATAGAGGTAGAAATGAGAAATTTCATGTTACCATTCAACGTTTGGTTTCATAATGTTTTAGAGGTTCAGAACTTGCCAATAAAAATTCTATAAGGAGCTTATTGCATTTTGTTTTTTTGCGTTTAGAGTTGACTCATGTACATTGTTTTGGTGCCTATAGGCTGGCATTACCGCGCATGCTATATCACTGGGTCCAAAGGGATCAGACGCTCACAAAGCAGCTGTCATAGGCGACACTGTTGGAGACCCTCTCAAGGATACTTCGGGTCCCTCGCTCAATATTTTGATCAAGCTGATGGCAGTTGAATCATTGGTATTTGCTCCATTTTTCGCAGCTCATGGAGGCTTAATCTTTAAGCTACTCTGATTTGAAGTTGTAATCATTTAAACCCGGTTATGCATATGTAATATGAATAGGTAGTGGAGCTGTGATATAGGTAGTGCTTGTTTATATGAAGACCCAAAAATACATACTTTGCTTTGATTTGACCAAATTTATGTCAGTGATCAGGATTAAGATCACATAATTTAAATTGAGAGTTTGAGATTAGTTTTTTTTTTTTTTCAGTTTCGAAAATAAAAGCTAACTAAGCCAACGTTAGATCTTCGATGAGTACGATCCAAACTTGTGTCCTTCAACATGGAACACTCTAGAATCGGAAATAAATGTGGCCCACGTAAACAAGTTGGCAGAAACTTTAGTTGGCTATAGTTTTCGAGGCCTGGCTTGTAATTCAAGCATCCTAATTTCCTAAACTATACTAATAAAATGAAGGCCGGCATCACTCTGCTCTTTTCTGCTTTTTGCTTCTTTGGTTTTTCATACTTTTTCCATAGTGAACAGGGAGTTACTGGTTGCCATTATTGTTATTAACTTACCCCTAACTCTACGTGTCATCTTCCGACTTCCCATGCTACCCACTCCTCCAAAGAAAGGAAAAAACAATCCTTTCTCCCAGACGTTAAACTCTTTTTTTTTTCCCCATACCATTTAAGATTCAGCCATTTTATCTTCTCTAGCCCTCTTTTATTTTAAAAGTCAAGCTTTAATTTTTTTTTCTTTTATCAAATAAAAAGAATAAATTTTTTTTTTCTCTTATAAAATTTCTTCCTACCTTTTTTAACATCTAAAAGCCAAGGTGCACGTTCTCAAAAGATGAAAAGCCACTAAAAGTTAAAATTAAATTGTTGACAGCAGTTTTTAGAAAGATTATAATTGTGAGACAGAAATTTAAATTTGGCTTGCTAATATATAAGTATTAAAATAAGCTATTTTTATAGTGAGTGACATTTTTATAAAAAATCTATAATTAGGTTAAATTTTTTACCCATAACCTAAGTTTATACATATTTATTATTTAATCGTTTATGAAAGTTTATAAAATTTTTTGTTGAATTTTCAAAATCTATTATTTTATATTTTCAAAATATGTTATTTTTTATTTTCAAAATTATATTATATTATATATATATATATATATGTTTGTATATTTTGAATTTTCAAATCTCATTTTAAGAATATGCATTTAATGTTATAATTTAAATTTATAATAAAAAATAACTTTTGAATTAATAAAATATTAAATGACATTTTAAATTTTTAAAGTTCTCTACACACCATATTTACAAAGTTAATAATTTTTAAAATTAAAATTTTTGCATCCATTCTTATATTTTTAATTCATTATAAAAATAAAGTTTTATATTGATACATTATTTAATATTTTTTTAAAAAAATTTATGTTTTCTCTGTATAATAATTACTTTTTTATTGCACAATTTCTATAATATTTACTTACGTTATTTTTTTTATTTTAAACAAAAATTAAAAAAATCATTAAAAATAATTTATGCAAGTGATACATAATCTGCTTAAATTATACATTAGTTTAAGTCATAAATATTAAAATATGATATTTTTAAATTTAAATTCAGATGAATTATATAAATATAAAAAAATAATATTTATTAATTGAGTGGAAATTATATAACTTACTTTAAAAATACTAAAAAAAATAATCTAATTTTAATTCTAAACATTGCATATAAAACTAATTAACAAAATAAAAATTACTTACAAAATTTTATATGAAATATTCTTTTCAAACCCAAATTTTTTATGTAAATATTTTATTCATGATAAATAAATTTTTCGATTGTGTATTAACTTAAGATAAGATTCGACTTTCATCCCTTAACTACAAAAATATAAGGTAAAAGTTTGCCGGCATCACAGCGGTACCGTAAATACAGTGAGGAATTTGCTTACGTGTACATTCAATACAACCTGCATTTACCAATGACAGTGTGCCACAGCATGTCAGTGACAATTTCAGAAGACATGGCATTGTACTATTGGTTAAAATCGGCCACGTCGCGTCCACCTAAGAGTGAGCCACGTCAATTTCCAAAATTTACCCACTACACTGAAAATAGAAGCAGAGTGAGGCACTATATAGAACGGAAGCTCACTCAAATTCAAAGTGGCTCTCACATTCTCTTTCTATCTCTATCTCCTTTCCGTTGACAGCAATGGCCCTTAGGGTGCGACACCCTAACCTCTGTTCTCTCATTCTTCTTTCCCTTTTGTGCATCGCTTCCGCCAAGGTCTTCTTCGAGGACCGCTTCAATGGTATCTATCCTTTCATTTTGTATCTCTCTTCATTTTTCTTATCGCTAGATCCCGAGCTTGAATTTTCATGTTTTCATGCTAGATTAAGGGGTTTTCAGTTTTCCTTTGTGTATTTCTGTGTGTTGAATTTGACATTATTTGTTCAGGAATCAGGATCAAGGTTTTTTTTTTGCGTTTGAACTTCGATCTGAAAAACTTCGATTGTTCGATTTGTATTTTGAGTTGGACATCTAGGTCCTACTCGAAATGCCATGGTTTGGAGTAGATCTGTGAACGTGTATACCGTTTTGCTTGTTATTATAATTCGTAATCGCGTTGAATGCTGATGTGGGTTCATAAAGAGGTTTTAATGGTTTAAGCATTGGCCTCGACACTTATTCCCATAATAAATTAGATAAATGAGGAGAGTATTGGAGCCTCTATTACTTTTGTTTTGCCGCACTTTTTCGGTTAAATTCGCCTTCGTCTATTGATTACTGAGTAGCGTTAGTTACAGTCACTGAGCAGTGTTTGAATAAGTGATACTAGATTTATACTTGAAAGTAGTAATCTCTTGCATGTCTTAGAACGTGAATTTTCTTCGTAAACATGCCAATGGTGAATCAAATCGATAAAGGCAAGTGTTTAAAATTGAAAGAAAGCTCAAAATCTCAAAATCACTTTTGAGCTTTCTTTCAATTTTAAACACTTGCCTATATCGATTTGATGGTACATTGTCTATATGATTATAATAAAAATCTCACCCTTCTCATTTTTAAAATTGCAGTCCACGTACCTCCAAGGATAGCCCATTTTCATAGTTTAATAATATCTTTTTCTTATTATTTTAAATCAGTATTTTTCCATTCTTCTAACTTGTGCCAATGTGCTTTGGGTGAATTCTAAAGATGGATGGGAAAATCGGTGGGTTACATCTGATTGGAAGAGAGATGAGAACTTGGCTGGGGAGTGGAACTATACATCTGGTCAGTGGAATGGAGACGCTAATGACAAAGGTAAACTAAATTAATTGCGTATTATGGCTGGTGGTGTTTACGGTTGCCTAAAATTTGATATTAAGGGATGTTTGGTTGAATGTTGATATCTCTGCAGGTATTCAAACCAGTGAAGATTACAGATTTTATGCTATTTCCGCTGAGTTCCCTGAATTCAGCAACAAGGATAAGACACTAGTCTTCCAATTTTCTGTCAAGCATGAACAGAAGCTTGACTGTGGTGGCGGCTACATGAAGTTGCTTAGCGGGGATGTTGATCAGAAGAAATTTGGAGGGGATACTCCTTACAGGTGATTTATATATACCTTTTGTTTCGTTGCTCTTTCATGATGGATGGCTTAGGTTTGGTAAAACACCTGACATTTTTAAGTTTTTTCTTTTGTTGTAGTGTCATGTTTGGCCCAGATATCTGTGGTTACAGTACCAAGAAAGTACATGCTATTCTGACCTACAATGGCACAAACCACTTGATAAAGAAGGATGTTCCTTGTGAGACTGACCAACTAACTCATGTTTATACATTTATCCTACGTCCAGATGCAACCTACAGCATCCTGATTGATAACGAGGAGAAGCAATCTGGTAGTCTCTACTCTGATTGGGATCTTCTCCCTCCAAAGAAAATAAAGGACCCAGATGCTAAAAAAGTACTTTTCCTTCTACTGTTGTACTTTAATAGCCAGATTGGTTTTCTGATTTTGGTATTGATAATTTTTAATCATAATGTACTCAGCCTGAAGATTGGGATGACAAAGAATATATTCCTGATCCCGAGGATAAAAAACCAGAGGTAATACCTCTTCTAAAAAATCCTGTGTATGAAGTTTGCAATTGTACTATGTGGTATATACTGATTCCTCTATCCTGTATTTGCAGGGGTATGATGACATCCCAAAAGAGATCCCAGATACCGATGCCAAGAAGGTATTCATCAGTTTGTTGTTTACTTTTGCTGAATGTATCTCACATTTTGTTGTGGTAACTGATTAGACTAATTTTTGCTGTAGCCTGAAGACTGGGATGATGAGGAAGATGGTGAGTGGACACCACCTACCATTGCCAACCCTGAGTACAAGGGCCCATGGAAGCCGAAGGTTTGTAAAATTTGTATTGTAACATATGACTTATTGCAATATGTTTGGTAATGGATTTGCTTTCTAATTTTGCATGCTACTTCTCTGCAGAAAATTAAGAACCCCAACTACAAAGGAAAGTGGAAGGCACCACAGATTGACAACCCAGGTTTATTATCAATCATTTTTATGCAGTAGTAGTATTAATGTAATTTTTTTTACAATGTAAGATAAATATATTGAACATTTGAAAAATATATTTATCAGATTTCAAGGATGACCCCGACCTCTACGTTTTCCCCAACTTGAAATACGTGGGCATTGAATTGTGGCAGGTAAAATTTTCATTTTTACTTCACTATTATTTGTTGGTCCTTTTCGATCGAAACACTGACCAGTAGGCTATTTTATCTTAACAGGTCAAATCTGGTACCTTGTTTGACAATGTCTTAATTACCGATGATCCTGAATATGCTAAGCAACTGGCTGAAGAAACTTGGGGCAAGCACAAGGATGTAAGTTATTTCTGTTCTCTTAATCTTATGGTCTAAAGAATGTGGTAGGATGATATGATCTTCTTAATGAAAACATGTTCTTACAGGCTGAGAAGGCAGCATTTGAAGAGGCCGAGAAGAAGAGGGAAGAGGAGGTAAAATTTTGATCCCAAAAGGCATCTTTGAAATTTATGTTGTTTATCTAATTTTGTTTGGAGGGATATATAAACTTTTCTTACAAGTACCCATACTTGGAACTTTTTAACCAGGAATCGAAGGATGATCCAGCTGACTCCGATGTAAGTAAAACCATTGATAACTGAAATTTTGGTCCATCATCGATTTCAATTATTCTAATTAAATTTCCTCAATAGGCTGAGGAAGACGAGGAAGATGCTGATGAAACTGGCAATGACTCTGATGCTGAGTCAAAGGCGGAAGCTGGCAATGACTCCGATGAAACCAAGGAAGATGGTGTACATGTAGGTGTATTTCATCCCTTCAATATCTGACTTGAATAAGGCTTGGCAACGTTGTTTTTAATCTCTCTTCCCGCATTTTATTTTCAGGATGAGCTCTAGGGAGTTTGCGAAGCGCATAAGGAGTGAGTGAAAATTCTGGAGAGGGAACTTATATCTTTTTTAGTGGGTAGTGTTTTTCTTTTAGATAAGTAAACCGTGGAAAACTGCAAGAAAAAGCTCGAGCTTTTTCCTTCCAAGCCCATTTGACTATTTCAGCTGATTAGAACAGATTAAAATGTCTCTATTGGATTGATCTTTTATGTTTTGGTCAATTGAGTTTCCAATTATGAAGCCGCTTCAATCTAATTAATTGCAAAAGGATTTTCTTTGTATATCGTTTGATAAAATATAAAATCGGGAAGAGTTTGCTGAAATTAGCTTACCGTGTAAGCTAGTTAAGAACTATTACTTGTCAATATAGCGCTTGGTGCACCATTGGCTAAAAAGAATTTAACATAAGAGCAGGTTTTTATCTAATTTAAAATTGTATTACGTTAATTTGCTCTTTTATGATTTTCCAACTACTTTACAATATAAGGGTCTCTTTGTGGCGGATTGGTTTAGGTGCTTCAGCTAGTGGCATCGATGTTTAGTATTTTAGAGAGTCGTCGCTTTTTAAAATGCAAAACAGTTGTACTAATTATTGAAGTAGATCGTTTTCCATTAATGTTTTAGGTAGTTAAGCTAGTGGCATCGATGTTTAGTTTTTAGACAAAGCCTTTTGAATGCAGCAGTTGTACTTATTATTGAAATAGACCGTTTTCCATGATGGGTTTGCCGCTTCAGCTAGTGGCATTGATGCTTAGTATTTTAGACTCGTCGCCTTTTAAAATATGAAACAGTTGTTCTAATTCTTATTATTTAGATATATTGTTTCCGTGTATGATCAGTGATGTATAAATTCATGTTATTCCCTTATGAAGTGTATCAAAACAGAACTGAAGTGTATCGGACGAATTGTGATGCCTCATTGGTTTGTTTAACGTGAAGGGTATTGTCAAATTATTTATTTTGAAACAATTTGTTCTACTAAAACCAATTACTGCAAGCAGTTGGATTTCTATCAATTTATCGATGTTATTTTTTAAATCTTTACATTATATAGACATTCATACATTGTTTACGGTGAAAAAACAAATAATCTAAAGATCAATCTGGGGACTGGATTAGGTCTTCTTTAGATTCTTTTAAGTGTATTGTTAATGTAACAGTGAAATAGACACGTAAATTAAGCAATCTAGAACGAATAGTGAATATGAAATGCGTAAAATTGAATCATAACGTAGATGTTTGTTACAGAAAAGTATGAAATAGGAAACGAATTGCAGATACAAGAACAAAAGCAAACAAACAAAGAAACTTGAATTGAAATGCAGAATGTAAAGGTACGGAAATGTACATATGCTGGAATGTAAACGTATGACTCCTAGCAATAAACAGTAACGACCGTAATGTCTCCTTGCAGCTAGTCTGGCACGGTGTAGGGTTTCAGCGTTTTAGAGAATTTAAGTGCGGTGTCAGGGTGCAAAAAGTCGTCCATTGTAAAATGACGCTTTAGAGTATTTATAGACATGAAGACCACCACCGTTCTCCTCCTTTTGTGGGCACTTCTTAGTAACTTCTTTCAACTGTTGATGCCCATTATCCACGATTGCTTGTGATCGTGTTGTTGGTTGGGGCTTCTTTCGTAACTGCTATCGCCCACGATCTTCTTTGCGTAGTGGTGAATGTTGATAACTGTTGGTAACCGCTATTGGATTTTGCAATGACTTGACCTATCAAGACTCTTGCTTTTCGAGTATTTCTGGAAAAACCTAAGAGACTCATTTAGTGTTATGGCCTTAGAAAAATTTCTTCTTGACTTCTCTTTTTGAGCAATTCTTGAGTTTTGAGAGCTTGTCTTGGTCTCGTGGACTTAGAATATTTTCTTTGCTCATTTCTGTTTTTCGAGCAATTCTAGAGGAAATCTGGAACTTAACCAAGTTTGTGAACTTAGAATATTTTCTGACCACTTCCTGTTTTTCGAGCAATTTTGGGTGTTAGGAACTTGAAAACTCCTCAAAATGCCTCGAAAAGCCATCAGTTTTTGTGGACTTAGAATATTTTCTTGTCAGTCCTATTTTTTGAGCAGTTTTGGATGTCAGGGACTTGGAAACTCCTCAAAACTCCTCGAAAAAGCCCTTAGTTTTGTGGACTAAGAATTTTTCTTGTTAGTCCTGTTTTTTCGAGCAGTTTTGGGTGTCAGTGACTTGAAAACTCCTCAAACTATTTGAAAAAGCCTTTAGTTTTGTGGACTTTGAATATTTTCTTGTCTTTCAAGCAGTTTAGAGAAAAATCAACAATGTGACAAAATTTTTCTAAAATAGCTCGAAATGTGTCCCTTTTAATAAAACTAAAGGTCTTGGATGGTCTTTCAATATTCTCTTATGTTTAGGCTTATTTTTTGGCTCCTTCTTGACCCTCAAACTTGTTGAGATGTAGTTTCCTTCAAGATGATTTTTAACTTAGAAAATTTTCCTTATCCCAAACACACATTTTATCAAATTTTTTTGTCTATATAGTAAAATTATGTTCGGAAGGAGTATTTTTTTTCAATTGTTTCTAAAATCATGGCAGATTCTACATAATGATGACTATAGGAATGTTACTTTAAAGTAGATGAGCTTCGATCCTTTCCATGATATTTTAAAGGACTTTTAATGTTGATCGAGAAAATTAAAGATAAATTCAAAAGAAAATTGAAACTAAATTTTAGATTTTTTTTAGTAAGTTAAGATAACAACAACAATCTATTAATTTATTGGTTTTCAGATCTAATTCGTTTGATTAGTTTTATAATCACTATTATTTGTTTGATTTTTGGGTTGTCTGGTTACATTGGTTACAACTGTGATTTCTTGATTATTGTGTCTATAATGGTAACTCCCACTATCAATTTTTTGTAAAACTAATTTTGAATACAACAGTAACTGTTATTACTTGTTGATTTCTTGGTTGTCAAGTCTAATTAATAATAAAATTGACTTTTGTCAGGTCTAATTAGTTATAAAATTGACTTTAGTTACAATGTTATTAATTATCAATTTCTTGGTTGTCAGATTTAATTCGTTGTTTGTTGTAAAAAGAATTTTGATCACAACTGTAACAGTTATTACTTGTTATCTACAATTTTTCTATTAATTACTTGGTTGTCAATTTCTTAGTGGTTGGATTACATTGGTTACAATTGTAATCGCTATTATTTATCAATTTCTCGATTGTTTGGTCTACAATGGTAACAACTATTACTTATCATTTCTTGTAAAACTAATTTTGGATACAATTGTAATTGCTGTTACTTGTCAATTTCTTGGTCATCGGGTCTAATTAGTTATAAAATTGACTTTAGTTACAACTATAACAACTATTACTTATTGATTTATTGGTTGTCATATTTATTTAATTATTCATTGTAAAACTAACTTTGGTCACAACTGTAATCGTTATTACTTGTCGATTTCTTGGTTGTTGAGTCTGTTGATAAGTCTGTAATTAGGCCCTATTTACAGTCCATGTATTCATATTTGATTTTATTTTGAGGTTTACATTAATTTATATATTAATTATGCAATTTGGTATAAAGATGCCACAAGTAGACTTTGGGTGCATTTTAGGTCCAAATTGATGGAAGATTAGAGCTTTGCAACAGGTAGCATGCCCAGACCCTTTCAACAAGTACATGGGTGCTTTTAGCCCATGCACGATCGTGCTTAAGGCCTTGCATGGCCATGATCATCTATGAGAAGCCAAATTATGAAGAGTTTTTAGGATTTTCAAACTCTATAAAAAAGGAGACTTGAGGCATCTCGCGAGGGCATTGTTTTTGACACCATGTTACACCTTGGCTTTTGCTCTTTCACCTCATTTCTCTTCTAAGGGGATCTTTGGCATATTCTTGGCGAGATTGGAGCTTCGATCGACTGTACTTGAAGACTGAGAATTCATCTCATTCTAGTTTACTTTTCTTTATGGCTTTGTTTATGATTGTTTTAGTTCTTTTCTTTAGTAGGAATAACTAAGTTCATAGCTAAGGCTATGAAAACTATCGTTCATGAATTTATGAAATTTAGATGTTTGAATCTAAATTTAATTTCTGTTTTGTGATTAGATTTTATCCTATTGTGCTTCTTTTTTAATTCTAAATTAATTATATCGTCAGATGACTATACCTTGGTTAATTAATAGGTTTATAGGGTAAAATGAGACAAAAGATTAGGTTGACCAAACTAATTTTTCTCTTCTAATCATTATTAAATTAACAAGTTTATAAGTTCCTTAAGCTTTCTTAAATTGATGTCTTGCAAGACTATTGAGGATGTTAATTTAGAGAAAAGAATATTAATATTGCATGACCATTAGGTATTAATGGTATTCGTATGAATGATTAGTAATCACAAGAAAATTAGATTTAGAGTTAAACAGAAAAATAACATAAAAGATTGAATGAAAAAACTCATATGACCTAGGTTCTTTTCTAATAAGTTTAACCAAGACGTGCATTGTATTTCTTGCTCTTAGTTTTATAATTGATTTTATAAATTGTTGTTTGAATTAATCTCGTATCTTTGAAGCTTAAACAATTGAATTAGAAAATTCTTAGTAATTGAAAATCAATCCTTGTGGGTTGATATTTAAGAACCATTTATTACTTCTCGGTGAGTATAGTTGCCTTCTGAACAAGTTTTTGGCGCCGTTACCGGTGATTGCTTTTTCAATATTAAGAAAATTTTAAATTTAATTAATTTGAGCAATTTGTATTTTGCTTTATTTTAATTCTATTTTGTTTATTGTTAAATTTTTTTTATAATTTTTATTTTTATTTTATTTTATTTATTTTATAAGTCTTTTAATGTATACTCACTCATTCTAACAACTCTACAACTTGTTTATTTGATCCGGAGATTGAGAGAACAATGCATAGACAAAGAAAAGAAGTGAGAGAGCAAAGAATGACAGATGGAAGAAGATCAATTCAAGATTACGTGACACCTGCTCTAGAGGCACCCCTAAAAGCATCGCGACCCCTAATATGGGGGGCCAACAATTTTGAACTTAAACCAGCACTCATAACCATAGTCCAGAACTTGATACAATTTGGAGGCATGGCTAACTAAGATCCCAATATTCATCTGATAAAGTTTCTTCGATTGACAGATACTATCAAATGCAATGGAGTCTCCAACAATGTTATTCAACTCCGCCTTTTCCCCTTCTCAGTATCTGAAAAGGTGAATGCATAGTTTTTCTCACTCCCAATCAATTCCATCATAACTTGGGAGGACCTTACTCAA